CATGATCCCGGAGTCCTGGGACTGAGTCCCACATCTGGCTCCCTGCTCAGCAGGGAGTCTGCTTCTCCGGCTGACCTTTCTCCTCTCATTCTCTCTCTCTCTCTCTCCCTCTCAAATAAATAAATAAAATCTTTAAAAAAATTTTTTTAAAAATCTTTAAAAAATAAATAAAATCTTTAAAAAATTATTTATTTAAATAAACAAAATCTTTAAAAAAATAAATAAAATCTTTAAAAAAAGTGGTTTGGACAACTTTACTCCTACAGGAAATATTACTCTGTAAATTTTGTCTGGACAGCAAAAACAGAAGTGCTTCCCTAAACATCTGGGCTGGGGCTTACATATGGGTAAGGGAGCACAGAAGAAAAAAAGAGAGAGAGATAAATCACTTCGCAGCAAAGATGAGTAGATTTCATTGGCCGCTTAGGTTCTTTAAAGTCTCACAAGATAGGTTGGGTTTGCCCCCTCAGAAGACAATTTGACGGTTTCACTAGGAAACAGATGCATGTAGACCACTGGGGGAGATAAAGCTCTGTTAATCCTAGCTGTCTGTGAATGAAATGTGGAGGACTTTAACACAGAAACCAATCCCAAACTGATTGCAGTCCCTTCCAAGACAAACAAATCCCAGAGGCTACAGACACTGGCGTTGCCCGGGATCTACGCATTCAGGGCTGTGGTCAGTCTCCTGGGCTGCCTTGCCTCTCTGATAGGGCAGCAAGTTTTGCAAGCTCCGCATCATTCTCTGGGTTAGTGAAGTGGGTGTCGGGACCACAATGAGTGAAAGCAGCCCCAAGTGAGAACAGGGGGCTGGTGGTTAGCAAAACAGCTTTCTAATAGAGGGCTCAGGCTGCCCCAGGTGTGTAGGGACTTTCCCTTGGCAAAAGGGAACCTTTTCTCCTCTCAGTTTGAATGTAACTTATGGTCACAGGGGAGTCAGGATCCACCTCTGCTCTGGGAATGTGCAGCTTTCTTGGGTTGAGGGGAATAGAGAGCCAGAGAAGCCACCCTGCTCCTTCACATAAGTCTCCACAATGCTGAAGACACTGGAAAGTACCATGACCTCTGTAAGATATGCCTTCAACTCCCCAAGAATTTACAGCCCAGTAAAGGAGAGGTCAGTGGGTTCACTTTCATTCTTACACCTTCAACAAAAGTGCTGGGGAGTGGGGGGGGGGTTCCTTTACCAAATGTTTGAACATGCAAAGCTAACAGGTTCATCTGGGAATCTGTGGTTAAGAAGAAAATGAAACTCTAAGCACATATAAGGATAAGAGCAAATTCAGATACATCCATGTAGTAAATTGAATCATTGTCAGTAATTCTCCATTCTCTCCTCGTATTAGAATATTCATACCCTTTGCTATGTTCCTTTATAGTTTTCTCCACTAGCTGCAGAGAACATTTTCCTGTTATATTAATGGAAATTACTGTTTAGTGAGATATTGGCCTTTGCAAGGCCAACAATCCAGATATTACTTTCTTTTAGACACTGGTTGGTATGTCCCCATGATCCAACCCACTTTAATTCCCTTTTCCTTCTTCTAAGGTCATATCTTCCATCCTTTTAAGTTATTTGGTGTTCTTCTTTAGGACTTTCAAATAGCACTTTTCTTCATAGCTTTTCCCTTATTTGTATAACTTTAGGCAATTCACCTAATCTGGGCGTCAATTTTAACATCTGTGAAACAAGGTGATGGGATTTCGTGATTTCTAGGACCATTTCTGCCCTAAATACTCACAGAAACAAAAGTTCTCAACTTTTTATTTTTATCAAAGTCATTGGCAAGAATTAAATGAAAATGCAGGTACTTAAATCTCGCTTCCATAGACTTTAATTGAACAGATCTGGGGTGGGACTCCAGTGCCTGTTTTTTTAATGCATACCCCCCAAATGGTCTTCTGTACAACCGGGTTTATTCTATGAACTCCGTTGTTTTTCATCTAAAACCATGACTTTCGTAGAGGAAGAGGAGTTTTAAATAAGAGTTAAAGGAACAAACTTCCCAGTTGACTTAGTGGGGATCTTCGATCAGAGGGGAATTGAGACAGTGAGAGGGATGAGATAGCCCTCTGAGGAAATTCAGAAATGTCCAGCTCTACACAGAACCTCTCCATATTTGTAGCACTCTTGGGGCAAGTTATTAATTGAATGTGTCATTGATCAGGTTCAAAAAAGGAAACACAACATAGTAAGTAAAACAACCTATGAGTGATTAAAAAAAAATAAAACAGCTCAGGGCACCTGAGTGGCTTGGTTGGTTGGATGTCTGGCTCTTGATTTCAGCTCAGGTCATAATATCAAGGTCCTGCGATCAGCTTATGATGGGTGCCCTGATCAGCTGGGGGTCTGCTTGAGAGTTCTCTCTCTCTCTCCCTTTCCCTCCACTCCCTTCCACTCACATTCTCTCTCTCAAATGAATAGATGAGTATTTAAAAACAAAACAAAACAAAACAGTTCATTGTTTTCAAGATGTGGCAGTGAGAAGGTTTTTATATAAAAACAGGCCACTAGATCTAACAGATGAGTATTTTAAAATACAGGTTCTACGTAGAGATGTTTCTATGTGTTTATATGTGTGTTCACATGTTGAATCTATATGACATATTAAGCTCTATTTTAAAATAACCAACGAATGCCATAATTGGGGCTTGAAAATTGCATTGTAACAACACTTAAAATGTATTTCATGCATTGTATGGCCTTAGGAGCATCATCTACAAGGGTTTGGTAAAGCCACAAGTATAGAAATAATGATTTTGAGTTGTACAGCTTATTTTAGGACATTTGAAGATGTTAGAAAGATTTCCTACAAGATCGTCTCACTTATTCACCCCTGTCTAAGATCCTTTACTCCAAAAGTGTCTGCCAAAGAAAAGAACACAGGGAGCCAGAGTCTAAGGAAGCAGGAGGGAAGTCTGAGCGGGGGGATCGCCATTCCATCTGGAAGTGGATTGGATAATAGGATATACATCCATCCTCATCTTTGTGTGTCTTCCCTGCCCAGCAGGAAAGAAGGGGCACCTGCCTTAGCCCCTATGTTCCATTTATACCCTATACCCTTCCCATTTTTAGTAGACTGTTTTACTTCTCTGCAGTGAAAAACTACTTCCCAGGGGTAAAGGTGTCCGGTCTAGGAAAAATCTCACTGATCCCTCTTGCACTGAATATTGAGTTGTGCCTTGAAAGTCATTTTACACAAAAGTGCAGTGTGAGTGGACTCAAGCCCATGCCTGGTACCCTTCCTCCCAGCCCCGGGGCCACTTGCTACCCAAACACCTTGGTTGCTCTAGAACGGAAAGCTTAGCCTGGTGTGATTTATGTAATACACTTATGTGCTATGATCCCTGTGGATAATGAAGCCTCCTAGAATGAGTTAGCAACCCTTTTACAAAGTTGTATTTTTAAAAGGGTGACAACCACTTACCCGGTGTGCTTTGGGTACATTTATATGAATCACTTCCAACTACTGTGTCTCATAATACTGACCCTTGAGCTAATTAACAGCCTGGTGTGATTGTTTCTATTTTGTAGCAACCAATTAAGCAGTTGCTCTGGATAGAACTGACAACAAAATGTAAATTTAAAGACAGAAACCAGAATCTGCTGGTTGAGAAGAGAAAGCCAAGACCAGATAAGCCAAGCAAAGATGGGGTGAGGTTGTCAGCGGTATTGTTTCTGGCAGTGGAGTACCGGGCCTCCTTAAATTCAGATTCAGACCAAGGTTAACCTGAGAAGTACCTCCATTAGCCAATAAATAAACACACAAATAAATAAATGTTTTTTTAAAAAATGTAACAGAGCATCTGCGTTTGTGCTGAGGGAAGCCAGACCTTAAATCGTGGCCAGCCAGTTGCCCACGCGAGGCACTTCCTAGGTAGAGACTTGTGTCCAGACCCTTCCCCAGAAGCAGTTTCACACCTGCATTTAAGCTTTGGCCTAAATGGACTCTCCTCGAGCCTCCCTCACCCGAGCATCGAGCATCCGACCCACGGAAGCACGGAACTGCAGGCTCACTCTTTGACACTCAGTAGTCTCCAAAGGAGATTTAAAGGTGTCCTGCGGTCGCTCCCACTCACCTTCCCCCAGCCAGCATCTCCATTTAGAGGGAGTTCTGGTTGTCTCCCCGAAGACAAAGAGCAAAAAGGTGAGGGACGCACGTAGAGAGGCCACACGACCTATTCGCGCCCCTCCCCGCTCACCCACGCGTCTGCTCCCGGCTCCCCCGACCCCTGCAGGGGACTGGCGGTCAGGTGAGGTTACCTGTGCGCCTCGAGAAGCCCCGAGGGGCGCCGCGATCCTTCCTCTCGAAGTCGCCCCACTCCCCGCCGGATCCCCAGGACTCTTGCCCCCCTCTCCCCGCGCGCGCGCGTCCCCTGCCCCTCGGGCTCCAGCGCGCAGCGACAGCCGCGCGCGGCGCTCGGCTCCCCTCCGCCGACCTGGCGTGACGCAGGCAGAGTCTACTTAAGGGAGGATTAGAGGCGGCGGCCGCGGATTCCCGAGCCTGTCAGCCAGCTCCGCGCGCTCCGCCCGGGCCTCGCAGGCGGCAGCCCAGGAGCGCCCGGTGCCTGCTGAAGTGCCAGGCGCAGGGGCTGGTGCCCGGACCCTTCGCTGGCCCCCAACCCCGGGGCTGAGACCTCTCTCGGGCGGACGAGAGCTCGGGGACCTGCACGCTGCCACCCCCGCCCCGCCCCGCCCCTCTCCCCGGCATCCGCGGGCTCCAGACCTGATCCCGGGACGGCGCGGGAGGTTGGTGCCGGCTCTTCCGACCGCGCCAGCTGCCCCATCGATCCGGGAGCGCTACGATTTCTTTCCTCATTTCCCTCTTTTAAGTGCAATAAAAGGGAGAGGGGATTCCTGGATTTTTTTTTTTAATTGTTTGCTTCTTTAATCGGGGGTCAAGCGCTCCCAGTCGGGAGGTGCGGCCCAGGGAGGGGCCAGGAGCGGGAACGTGCCCGGTGCTGCCCAGTCTTTGTCTTCTGCCTCCGGATGCACAGCGATGGGGGAATGGACCATCTTGGAGAGGCTGCTGGAAGCCGCGGTGCAGCAGCACTCCACTATGATCGGGAGGTAAGGGCGCTGAGCCGGTCGTCAGCGGGCCCCGTCGGGCTACCCCGGGAGTCCCTTGGCACGTCCAGACCGAGCCCCGACAGCCCCCAGCCCATCCACTGCCCCCTTCCCATCCTCTTCCATCCTTGCGCCTGTGTCCCTGAGTAATTGTGCAACCCATGTCCAGTGATCCCCCCTCCCCCAGCTGCTCCTGATCAGCTCTCCATCACTTCCCCCCTGAAGCACCACTGGGGGGTTGATTCTTCTCCCATTAGGAAAGGAGTTATCGGCTCAGTCGTGGTACCCCCACTCTCCAGAGTCAGAGCCAATCTCCATCCGATTCCCTAAATAGAATCTACAAGGAAGGCAAGATTGTGTTTGGACAGAGAAGGGCAAATAGGGAGATGGATTTTCTCTTCAGAGCAGATGTATGTTTCCCCCCAAAATATTTCTTAAGCTAAACTGATTTGGCTGTTAAACTTAAGGTCTCAGAAAACCACACTCTCAATTGATACTTTTATGTCTTCACATATATAATATATATACTCATATGTATATACACTATATATATCTATATGTGTATGTATATATAAATATGTATATATGTGGATAGTTATTCATAGCTATCTGTTCATATAAAGCATTAAGTTCAATATTTATACTGAGGGTAAACTAAATATCCACTTGGGATAGTTATATGCACACTCTGTGTGTAGACTTTGAAACATGTACTCTCTGTTCAGATATTCCATGTGCACTTGCCATATCCAGAATGAAGGTGCGCCTTTTGCCTCTGTATGTTCCACGTATGCAGGTGAAATCTATCTGTTGCCATACACCACATCTAGTGTATGGAGGTGTGTACATATTCGAGACCCTTGTATTATGAAGTGTTTCCAATCTACTGACAACCAGCATTAAGGGAAGAGCCAAAAAAGAATTTCCTAGATTCCCAGCTCAGTACCACACAGGGATGGACAGCTCCCCAGTCAAAGGATGGGCAAACACCAGAGCAGGGAAAGGAGGAGTGGGGGTTTCTTAAGTCAGTGACTAGACCCTTGAGAACCTCTCTCCCTCCCTCTTCCCCTGCTCAGGATCTTGTTGACTGTGGTGGTGATCTTCCGGATCCTCATTGTGGCTATTGTGGGGGAGACGGTGTACGATGATGAGCAGACCATGTTTGTGTGCAACACCCTGCAGCCCGGCTGTAACCAGGCCTGCTATGACCGCGCCTTCCCCATCTCCCACATTCGTTACTGGGTCTTCCAGATCATAATGGTTTGTACCCCCAGTCTCTGCTTCATCACCTACTCTGTGCACCAGTCCGCTAAGCAGCGAGAACGCCGCTACTCTACTGTCTTCCTGGCCCTGGACAGGGAACCCCCTGAGTCCATGGGGGTTCCTGGAGGAACTGGGAGTGGAGCCAGTGGTGGTGGCAAACGAGAAGATAAGAAGTTGCAAAATGCCATTGTCAATGGGGTGCTGCAGAACACAGAGAACACCAGCAAGGAGACAGAGCCAGATTGTTTAGAGGTTAAGGAGCTGACCCCGCACCCATCAGGGCTGCGCACGGCAGCACGATCCAAGCTCCGAAGGCAGGAAGGCATCTCCCGCTTCTACATTATCCAAGTGGTGTTCAGAAATGCCCTGGAGATTGGGTTTCTGGTAGGCCAATACTTTCTCTATGGCTTCAGTGTCCCAGGGTTGTATGAGTGTGACCGCTACCCCTGCATTAAGGAAGTGGAATGTTATGTGTCCCGGCCTACCGAGAAGACTGTCTTTCTAGTGTTCATGTTTGCTGTGAGTGGCATCTGTGTTGTGCTCAACCTGGCTGAACTCAACCACCTGGGATGGCGCAAGATCAAGCTGGCTGTGCGAGGGGCCCAGGCCAAGAGGAAGTCCGTCTATGAGATTCGCAACAAGGACCTGCCCCGGGTCAGTGTTCCCAATTTTGGCAGGACTCAGTCCAGCGACTCTGCCTATGTGTAAAGGGGCAGTTTTGGGGAAGGCCTGGGGAATGAAAAGGAGCCCCGAGGCAGATGAGTGCTCAGAGAGTGGCTGTACCTGCCCTCATTTACCACTGAGATGTAGGACAAGACTGGTTAAGAGAAGACCTTGCATCAATGGGAGAGGAGAGCAAGTAGAACATTACCACGCATCACACCGTCAGTTCCTACCGAAACCATGGGGTTAGAGTGATGAGATGGATGAGTGGGACTTCCTTGGGCCCTCTTTGTTTACGGCCCAGTCTGATCCTGACAACAGTGTACTTGAACAGCTACCAAGTAGGACTTTGCTCTGCTGAGCTCTATATCCTGGTGAATGGCATGAGACAAATATTTCATTGGTACAAAATGTGTGACCTGTCTCAACACATCCCTTCATCCTGGGCTGCGGGACAAACATCCTTGAGGCATCTTCCGTGTACCTCCCTTACTAGCATGCCCCTCTCCCTCAACCCAGGATAGCATGCCAGCCTTTTTTTCTGAATCTGGCCTTACAGTATACCTAATATGGTTTATCTGCAAGCTAGAGGGAATTACAGGGGGTTGCTTTTTGGAGAATGGCCATAGCAGAGGTTTCCATTAAAGCCCCATCCGACTAGCCCTTAGTCATTATGAAAACCTTCGGAATGTCTCAGTATTTCCAATTTTCTAACTCAAACTGCACTGGTGCTGTTTATTAGGGGCAGGGTTTGGGTGGGAGGGAGGGGATTGGAATATGCAGCTATAACACTTCTGTGAGATGGTTGTTGCACTGTTAGGCATGTGGTTATGAGCTTCGGGATATTTCTGCCTTCCAGCTTGTGGACTTTGGCTAGCATTAAAAATATTTTGTCATTGTTGTTAATATCAAGGGTGTCTACCTGAGCCACAGAATTTCTAACTGGTATATTTCACTCATTTTCTTACATAGTTCCGTTGTGCAACACAGCTGCACATCATTTTGCCATGGTTTGAATTTACCTGTGTGCTCACACCAGAGACCTTAATCAGCCCATGTGAATCTCAATTTATCATTTCATCAGTTATTTCTGAAACACACACACAAGACCTAGCTTAAGAAACCTGGAACGAAACACTATTGGCTAACACGTGTTTACGGATGTTTATTTGAGACATATACCAAAGGTTCAAAAACCTGTTTCTTTGGACTGTGAATATGTTTCCTTCTCTTTGCTCTTATTTATTTAAGTGCCATACACTACCTTTCACATCCGCTGTGTATTTAGTTCAAGCATTGGCCAAGAAGAATATTCGAATAATTGCTTTTATGAAGCCCTCTATTTCCTTTGCATTATCATTTATGATTTTTGATTTAGGTATGGACATGATGTAACACACAACTGAGGATTTGTTTAAAATAAAGTTCTTGCCTTTTTTTGTAAACTGGGAAGAGTCTGCATTTTTCTATTTTGATTAGGGTGTCTATTTATTTAAACACATGTTCACAAATGTTGCATATTCAAAAAAAACAGAACATTGGGGCCCTGAAGGGAGGAATGGATGACTGATAACGTCCAACCAACCACTCACAGATGAGGAGAGGCGGGTACATTTTGGAATGTTTAGAAGAGTGTGATGAGACATTCAGATAGTAGTATTTACTAAATCCTTTCCATTGTAGCCAAGATTTCTCTGCTTGTCTAGGGATATTTCTAGTAATAAAATTCCAATAGTATATCATAGTAACTCATCCTGAGAGTAGAATATTTTCTCCTTTCCATCGTATTTTTCTGCCATGGATTGTCACATTTGGCAGATATGTTGAACTCCCCATCATCTCTTTAAGACCTAATGTTTAAAATGGTGCTGACCTAATAGTCAAACAGAACCTCCTAGACCAGTACTGTCCAACACAACTTTGTGAAATGATGGAAATTTCTACTGTCTGTGTTGCTCACTATGAGAACAACTAGCTACGTGTGGCTGTTGAGCTCTTAAAGTATGGCTAGTGCAACTGATGGACTGAATTTCTAGCTTTATTTAATCTTAATTAATTTAAAAAGCCATATATGGTTAGCTGCTACTCTCTTATACAGTACAGTGTTAGACTGAGCACAGTCAATCATTTCTTGTTGGGTTCTTTCCAAGGAGAACGATCTCCTCCTTATAGCTCGTTAGACCTGACTTTTTAGTCAGACATTTCACCATGATTTTTTGGCATTTTCTGTCTCCATGTGGTCCCATTAGCTCAGTAGGCTAGTGTTTTTTCTCTAGTTCTTTAATGCTCTTGACATTATTCCATGAGCACTTGGTCTGAACGTTGGGAAGCAACATGGCCTTTCCTGGATGATTGTTTCTCAAACACAATCATGGCACCCTTTAACTATAGCAGAGCAGATGTCAATTTTAGAATGAAAATATGTTTATTTCGATCTATTGGTTTCCATCTGCAATATACATAGACAGTTGAAAATGATTATCCTTCAGTAAAGGAGCAGATCCTCCTCTGTTTTCTGTTTGGTGAGCTAAAAATATTTGAAGACACCTCCCAGAGATGGAGGAAGAGTGTTGTTTGAGAGCTCTTAGCATATGCTTGGGTGTGAAAGAAGTAGGAATCTGTGTGGAAAACAAGGGCTGTTGTATTTATGCTGTGATATAAGATTAGAAGAACGATAGTGTATCAGTGGGGCTGATCTATTTCAGTTCTTTGATGTTTCCAAACACCCACAAATGGAAAGATTATTAGTTCACTTGTCAGAAGTGGAGGAGGGAATATACCTTCCTTTGGGCATATAGAGTTATCCCTCAGAATGACTGATGTATGTCAGTCCGATTCTGTTGCTTTCTACTTAATGAAGAAAATATACTGATGATTTGATGGTTCATATATCTGTGTGATGGATGTGACCTTAATCTAGACGTACTTTGTGAGAGGATAGTGCAAATACATTCTCTTAGATTCAAAAGCCTTTTGGTGAACTGCAGGCCCTTTTGGCCCCTGTGTGAGTGTACGTGTGTGTGTGCACACACATGCACATGTGCACGCATTGGTAGGGATAATGGGTGCCAGTGTATGAACTGGTTTTAAAATTTTGGAGAATACACTGGACAGATCAAAGTTACTTAGTCTGGGAAGAGAAAAGCTGAAAGTACAGAATTTATAATTTTAAAATCCTCAGATATTTTAAGGGTTAAAAAAATGAGAGATAACAGCTGTGCTCTCTAGCCTCTGAGGACAGAGGCAAAAGACTGGATTTAAAATTGAGGGTGAAGGAAGCTAGGAAAGCACCAGAAACCACAGGGTTTCTCTTTTACCTCTCTGGGGTTTTTTTGTGGTTTTTTTGTTTATTTGTTTGCTTGTTTTTGTTTTTGTTTTTGTTTTTTGTCTTTGAGAGAGAGCATGCACAGAAGCAGAAGGTAGGGGGCAGGTTGGGGTAGAGAGAGAGGGAGTGAGAGAAAATCCTAAGCAGTCTCCACGCCCAGAGAGGAACCTATATGGGGCTCTATGCGGGGCTCGATCTCATGACCCTGAGCTCATGATCTAAGCTGAAATCAAGAATCAGATGCTTTAACCAACTGAATCATCTAGGACCAACCCCCCCCCCTTTTTTTAAACACTGTTTCTTCTGCAGGGAATCCTTGTCCCACCACTCCTTTCACTGAATGTTCCTGTTCACTGTCCACTTACTAAACTCTTCTCCAGGCTGGCTTAGTGACCTTGCACTGAGCCTTCATAAAATTCACTGTTAGGAGCTGCATGAAGATGAGATGTTCTTCGATCAGTATGTGGCTCCTTGATGGTAGGAACTGGGCCTTACCCACCATGGCCATATGTGACCTTTCTTGTCAGTCTTCCATCTAAGATGGTATTATAGACCCACAGTGTATGAAAACTAAAAACATCCTCTAAAGACATGAAGTTGAGTCCTTTAGGATATAGTTGAAGAACCCCAACCATCTAAAATCAAGATAGTGGGTTTCTTGGAAAATGATATAAGCATTTATCTTGGAGGACTGGAATATTTAGGAAACAGTATTTAGATTGGTTGTACTTTATTTTTTTTTTTTTACCAAGTGTGGTTTTTTGTTTGTTGTTTTGGTGCTTTTTGTGTGTGTTTTTTCCTGCTGCTACCATAACAAAAATCTCATAGACTGGATGGCTCAGATAACAAAAATGTATTTTCTCACAGTTCTGGAGGCTACATGTCCAATACTAAGGTGTGAATGGGTTTGTTTTTTTCTGAAGGCCCCTCTCCTTGGTTTGCAGATGGCCTCCCTGTTGTGTCTTGTTACGTCACATGGTGTTTCTTCAGTACACATGGGTGAACACCTGATGTCTCTCTGTGGGTCTAAATTTTCTCTTCTTATGAGGACATTAATCAGATTAGATGAGGGCCCCTCCCCCCAGTAGCCTCAGTTTAACTTAATTACTTCTGGAAAGGCCCTATCTCAAAATACAGTCACATTCTGACCTGGGCGAACACAATTCAGCTTATAATACTAAGTGTTTTCAAACTTTTAGGTACCCTTATGGTTAGAGGGGTTGTTTAATTTATTGCACAAAACAGGATACCTTGGAGAAGGAAAGGGGCAGGATAGCTGATTGAACGGCAAGCCAGAACAATAGGTGTAAACTGGATGGATCCTGAGCAAACCAAGATGTGTGGAAACTTTATTTAAGACAATAAATGGTCATTGAGGTCTTGCTTGAGGGCCTGGATGCATGGAGATAATAATAACCTGCATCGGCTCTTGAGAAGAGCTGTTGAAGCTACATCTCCAACAAAAAGATGAAAATTTATGTCAATAATAATGAGAAAACAGTATTTAAAAACACCAATGCCTTTGGCCCATTCTTGACCACCTAGTCTGGAATCTCTGATGTGGGAGCCTAGCCATCAGGATTTTTTTATTTTCCATACCCGGGAGATTCTAATCTGTGGTCAGGCCTGAGAACAACTGAGTCAGAGACGTCTGCATAAGATGATGAGAATCAGATACTTGGAGCGGAAATTAGGAAGGGGGGAAGGGGCAGTATGAGGT